ATTTTTGTTTGTTCAACAAATTTATGTTCTAACCGAATTGACTATCTTTCATTCATTGCATGCTTTCCCGACTTGCTGTAGATAAAATAAAGTTCGCAACTTACAATACTATTTGTATTAGGTGATTGTCATAGTATTACCCGACTTGCCGTAGATAAAATAAAGTATGCAACTCACAATACATCTTTATTTGGTGATGTTCATAATATTACCCGAATTGCCGTAGATAAAATATAATATGCAACTCACATCTGTATTCAGTATTTTTTTTAAATGATACGCATTTTCAGAATAATAACGATGTATAGTAATATACGTTCAGTGGAAATTCATTTGTAGTACTTCAGAATAATAACGATGTATAGTAATATACGTTCAGTGGAAATTCATTTGTAGTACTAATCTATCAGAAGAGATTTGTAGTCGATGTTTATTTGTGCGGCCATACCGTAAGAATGATATATGTTCTTTGTAAAGATCAGGTGTATGATTGGAGGGAGATCCATATATAGTAACACTCATATAGTAAAGTTAATAGCATTAAATAAAAACGGAGATATGTTGTAATGCCGTTTTGGCATTGTCTTTGTGTTAACGTATTCGTTACGGAGGAGGTAACGAATACGTTACCACAAAGGCATTGGCAAAACGCCACTACAGCATATTCCATATCTTAGTCAAAGGAGTGTTTTTGTTTAATTTATTCAAAAACGTTTCACACTTTTTTAAGTTTTGAAAACGGTGATCAATTTTAAACATAGATCCAGTACAATTAAAAAATATTATTTATCCTGTAAATAATTTAAACAGATCTTTTAGCTCTACTTACTTCGTAAAAAAGTTAACGAATAATGAAAAAGTACGGCTTATTTTCTCAAAATCTAAAGATTAAATATACTGCTTTTGATGCAAATTATTTGAAGTTTCTTCTAGTAGTTTTAGCGATAATAATGGTTTTAGGTATTATTTGGCAAATATACGAAAAGGTTTCAGAATCTTAGATGCCGGCGCAGAGATCAGAGAGAGAGCGCATTCGGAGAGTAAAAGAGGGATTACGTAAACGCTCGGTTTGGTGATAAGGTAGAGTCTTCCTCCAAATTTTTTTTTAAATGCAAAAATTTAAATACTAAGAAACATTTGGATATAATAAAAATTATACAAATACCTAGTATGGAGTCATTAGCGAGAAATATTTTGTTGAATTTAACGTAATCCATTTAATCGTAATCAAGTTATACAGGAAGGTAGGTATTATTTAAAAAATACGTAAAACATTTATTTTTTATTCATTAGCTTTTCTACGTAAAACATTTCTACTTAATGGTTTACATTTTAGATGTGTTTACACTAAATAAGTAAACAATAATGAGATAAAACTATAAATAAAGTAAATAATTTACTTTGTTTATGGATTGATGTTTATGGGTTTATGGATTTGTACGATGCTGTAAAGATCTACTTTTAACATATCTTCTGAAAAAGGCAGATTGCGTTGTCTTAGCCACTCTTTCATGACATTTTTCGTTGAACTCATATTAGGACACTTTTCAACTTGCACATTGTGATAAGAAGCATTGTCAACAATCAGGACACTAAGTTTAGGAAGATTGAGAATAAGCATTTCCTGAAGCCATTTTTTTTATAATTTTCGTAATTGATTTCACTGTGCTAGTCACCTGTTTTGTGTTTGATTTAAATTCCAAATAAGCATTTTTCACAAACCCGTTTTCACCACCTGTATGCACTATTATCAGTCTCTGACCTTTTGAAATCGGAGCACGTAATCCCTCATTGGAATTGTCTCTCCAACTTTTCGAGTGAGTATGGGAAGAATGAATGTAGGTTTCGTCCATGTATATGATAGGACGCTTCTCTTCTAGGTATTTTTTAATATATTGAAGAAAGTTACGTCTCAACTGTTGGATTTCCGGTTTTTCCATTAAAAGTTTTTTATTATTTTTTGTTTTTCTCCAACGAAACCCTATATTCCTCATTGCTTTTCTCTTTGATTCACGCGAACCATTGTAGTTATACTCAGTGGCAAATTTTCTATGTATTCGTCGTAAAGTTGGAACTTGTTTTTCTGTAGTACAAAAATTTATAATAAATCGACGAAGCACCCCTTTGTCGCACTCATCCAACTTAGATTTTAAAACCGACTTATTTATTTTTTTATTTGAAGTACTAAAGCTTGATGCAGTACCATCTTCGATGCACTTCATTTCCTTTGAAATGGATTGTATGGTGGATAAACTTACACCAATTGCTCTTACAACACGTTTTTGAACTTGTTTTAAGTCTATTAGAGCTACGTTGTTCCTTGCTTCTTGTTGCATAAAATTTGCTATAATTTCTCGGCTTTGACCAGACAAAACTTCTCGATTTAATTTTGATTTAAATTCCATTGCACTGAGACCATCGAGCAATAAGACAAAAGAGGGAATGTAAAGGTAGTGGGGGTAAACATATTGATAGACAGGAAGTGCTATTTTGAGAGGCCACTTTAAACAAGGATAGAGAATCTCTTTTCTTGTTTAAGAAATCAAATTTAGTTGGGTTATGTTATTGTTGATGTTATTGTTTGTCAAAACTGTCACATGAAAGCTTATATTTATATTTTTTATTAAATTTTTTTAACATTTTAGACTATTATAGTGTTAAAAAAGTATTTTAATAAATAATTTTAATAAAAAAATAGATAAATATATAATATAAAATATTATGTAATATAAAATAAATAAATAGATAAATTAGAACCCCTACACCACTGTATGATTATTGTCAAGTGTCATGAAATTTAAATTTGGCGCATTTGCATTTCCGGATATGTCCGCCATCATAGGCCACTTTTTTGGTCTCCTTTTCATAACGATTAGATTCCCTCTTTTGTCTTATTGCTCGATGACTGAGACACACTATTCTTTAAGAAAACTCTGCCGCAGACTGTACCGACCGACCTTTACAAGTATACTTATAATCCATCTCTTTACACAAACCACCCAAACTATTCCCACATTTATTTCTTATCCTTCAATACCTAAAAACCCCAACAACCTCACAAATCCCACAAACACCAATTACCCCCATTTACTTTCCAAACTCACCCTAAACATCCCTCCCAACCAAATCCCCATTAAAATACATTACTCAAAAACATCCACCTACATACAAACCCAATCCCCTCACAAACTTCAATCTATAATACATACTTAAAAATTATTAACACATAAATTCATTACATAAACAAATATCTTAACTTTTCACCCTACCCCCAACAACCTCCCCCCCCCCTTACCATTCCCAAAACATCACAACCAATCTCCCCAATCCCCCAAATCACATTATACATATCACCCTAATTCACCCCATCCAACCCAAACTACTCCCCCTAACCCCATCCCACCAACCCCCACTACTTCTCCCCTAACCCACACAATCCACCATCCACAAACACCCACCAACCCCACCATCCCAACTACAACACTCACAACAACATTAACAACTCAAACTAAAATTCTCTCATACACCCCATACTATTAACACTCCCAAAAAAACTTCAACATCTCTAATTCCCCTACAATACACTGAATCACATCTTACATCCAACAAAAATACCCTCAAACATCACACAAAACAATCTAAATCTCTTCCCTTAAACATCCCCCATCATCCCCCCCACATCAAGCCCCCACCCACACCCACCCACACCCAAAATACTTAAACAACATCTCCTAATATATCCTTTATCTTCACCACCTCCCAGACACAAAACGACCTCCATAATCCCTTCCCCCACAAGAACCCTCATGCATTTACCCCAAATATAACATATAAATTCTACAATAAACAAAATTCTACAATCAAATAACTCAGCATATATCTCCGTAACAAAAGAAGTTAACAATTTAAACACATACCAATAACTTCATCCAACTTATCACAATTCCCCTCCCATACTGCAAGTTCCCTGATTAATAAAATAAAATCATTTAAATTTATATGTTTCTTAGTTGCAAAATCATGACGTTATTTTATCAGAAGTTGAATAAATCTTAAATAGAATTAAAATAATTTTAACAGACATGAGATCCGACAATGGGTTTATAAATTTGCTCAATGAAGCTAAAAAATAGCTCAAGAAATGAATGCAGAAATTTCATTTCCTGCAGTTCATACAGTTCGACCAAGAAGAAAAAAGACCTTTTATGAATATGAACATAAATATGGGCCCATTCAATATCCAGAATGACATTTTAGAGTAAATTTGTATTTTTATATTCTTGATATTGTTTCAATTAAGATGTGACTGGCCTGGTTCGGGAATTTGCACTTAAAAAGACAAGGTATAGAAATAGGTATATTTATACCTAGTGTTGTATTTCTTTTTTTCTTTATTTTACTTTATTTTTCGTAAACTAACTATGTAGGTTTTTGTATTTTGGTTATACCAAATTATATTTATGTACATGATATGTTGTATAAGCTCATATTTATATTACATATATGTATCTATTCATTGACTTAATAAATATATACTTTTATGATTTAAATGTTCAAAATTGTTTATTAATTTTCCCTTTTTGCGATGTTTTCTTATTACGTTTTCCAAAACTGCTAATGAAGCGGCAAATTTTTATTTAATGGATAATGATTTAAAGCGGATTAATGTGATTATCATCATCTATATTAATTGAGGGTGGTCCAGGACCACTCTCCTTCCTGCCATGGTCTATACAATAAGCCTGTCTCCAAAAGTCTCCACTTTTTCACTAATTACTATAAACTAGTATCTTTTGGTAAATACTAAAGTGAAAACACGATGTAGGTCTTATGCCTTCGAATTTAGAAACAAAAGTGTTCCAGTGGAAAATGAAAACACATTGTGTATTTGATTATTCAAGGTTTATTATTTATTAAGACCCAATATTATGGTTTTTCCAGGATTTTATCCTTTTTTACTACTTTCTGGATTATAAAATAAAGTAAAAAAAAACTAACAATTGGTCTAAAATCTAAGTATATTTTATTTATACCTATAAACAAACTGTAGATATTACAAATATTTTAATACAAATGTATTCATGTAAATAATTCTTAATAGTAAAATGTTATAAGTCGAAATTTAAAACTCTCGTCTATGATATTTATCTGGATCGAAGTATGATGTTACAACTACGCGATTGCTGAATTTCCTTCCGGTAAGAGTTTGCTGTGCCTTTTGACAATCCAACACAGAATTAAACTCGACGAATACCTATAAATAAAAAATCTATTGTTAGCTCTACATTATATTAAATATTATACCATAGATAAATAATATAATAGTAGAAATAGATAGGCAACTCAATGTATAAATTTCGTTCATTAGGACCCCTTGCGTCAATACTAATAATCTTTTGGCGGCAAATTCAAATGGACACCCCCTACATACATAACCTTTAGCGCCTCTTGCGAGTTATTTCTTTACTAATTAAAATTTACTGGAAAATAAGGATGTACAAAAGATGCACAATTTTTTTCTAGATACACGTATATTTATTTGTTAAGATAGAACAGTTATAAACTAATTACATAATATATATATTGCACATATTTTCAGAAGTTAAATACTATTCTTTTTTGCTTCCTGGCAACTTCCTATCATCATCCTTTTTGTAATTTTTCCATGGAAAACGGAACAATACAATAATTCACCATGTTTAGTTTTTTTTACTAGCACAACATAAAAATTCTTTGCTACAATAGGTAACTCAAACTAAACTTTAAAAACTAAGTAACCAAATTTATTTTAAAATTACTAAGAATAAATGCAAACGAAAGTTAAAGATAATAAAATAAAATTGAAAACTTGTAAACAAACGGAAGATCTGTCATTACGTTTGACAGAATTGACATTGCTTCGTTTGATTATTTTATTTGGTTTATGATTGGTTAAAGTCTTCGTGAGAGAGATAGGCTGTTATTTCTCTTTATTAAATCGCTGGGCTTAAAGTGATGGAGGAATGAACCAAGTCATTCATATAAGATTGTAGATATATATAAGATAGTATAAGAGCCATTGTAAAAACTTGTAATTAAGTAGGTTGTGGATTTTACACTTAAATGCAGATGTTTGACATTTCAGCCATGCAGATCGTAAATGTCATTGCATGACTTTTATGTCATTATCATTGTCAATATAAACAGATTGTATTTAAATTTTTATTAAAAAAACAAATTGATCTGTGAAAGTGGATAAAATCTTAACCCGAGTTAGTTTTAATGCACAGACTATTTTACCGCTATCTTTTATTCCTCAATAGCTTTTTCTAGAATTCTATTTTCCCTGAAAACTTCACGACAGCTATCCCTATAGTGTATAGCAAGAATCTTATTTATGATCCGTTTCTGCAGAACAAAATGCGCAAATTTTCAGGTGCTTTACCCCAAACAATAATGTTCTGAGCAATAATGAAATTAATATACCTGCGTGTAACATACGGACATCGATGTATTTGGTGTCATGTCGTTCTTCATTGCGGATATAGCTAAATTAAAAGACAGTTTTGTTGAACTTTTTACTTGTGTAATGTATATGTCTTTTGAAGTTCAGATTAGAATCATAATCGTGCCAAGAAATTTGGTATGTGATTTATATCGACATTTGGGTGCTTCTACTCCCACTATACGAAAAATTCACGATTATATTCTTTTCCCAATTTACGACTAATCTATTTTTGTCACATTTAGTTTAAAATAACCTAATTATATCTCTTAAAAAGAAAAAGACAGTCAAGATCTATATGCACATATGTTTATATACTATATGCACATTGTCCATCACATTACATTTCGAACATTTGTACTAATGGTAGTGGTATTTTCTGGAGGTTGACCACAGTTTAAAGAAGAAGAAGAAAAAAGAAGATATCCATCTTCTTGACAGGTGACTAGGCGCAAATCACTGTTTTTTTCTGTGCGGTGTTGATCACAAGTGTTTTCTGAATATTGTTGTAAAAAGTGTTCAAAATGCCAAAAAGATTATCAGAGAAGGATAGTGTATCCCGGAAGAGGCGTAAATATGAAAAGTTACAACAGAAATTGGCAAAGTTAAGGGAGGATTTGGAAGAAAGTGACCAAGGTATTTATAGGTTATGTTATACATTCTACACGCTTTTGGAAAAAAAATATTATATTGGTTGTCTCAGTTAGGGTGCCTTTAGGTAGCCCAAAGTAAGGCAGAATAAATAATTAACGCCTTAACAAAAAATAGAGCAGCGGGTACTTTTTAGTAGCCCAGTAAATCTTTATGATTATTTGACCTATTGAGTTGTTATGTTATACATTCTACACGTTTTTTGAGAAAAAGATATTATACTAGTTGTCTCAATTAGGGTGCCTTTGGGTAGCTAAAAGTAAGGCAGAATAAATAATTTACGCCTTAACAAAAACTAGAGCAGGGGGTACTTTTTTAGTAGCCCAGTAAATCTTTATGATTATTTGACCTGCTCCCATTTCTCATAGGTACTTTACAGTAGCCCAAAAGTTTAGAAAAGAAATAGATTTTATTTAATTACTTTTGTACATTTTATCTGGTTTTTACTTACAACCGTAACAAGTTTACATACTTTTTTACCTTCAATACTAAAATTTTTGTTTGGTATTGTCAAAAATATTAAAGTCCTTTTTATTCATTGAATTTTAGATGAGGAGAGGCAAACTGAAGGTCAAAATAATATTATAGAAACCATTGTGGAGGTGCATAGCCCTCCAGCCTTGTTAAATAATACAGAAAATGATAATCCATGCAATTTGAGCATAATAGAAGATTTGGGGGCAAGTGGAGAGCTTCAACAGGCAGTACCTATTGAGGACCCGCAACAGCAGGCAGAAGATTTTTTCATTGGAGAGATATCTACCAAAAAAGATAATATTTCTCTGGATATGATTAACTTAATTGGGGAGGACCCATCAAAAACTAACCTTAATGCTTGTGAAATGTTACCAGATATAGCAAAGAGGCTAAATCATTCTCTCTCCAAAGGCTTAGACAAAAGCATTGTGGGTAAGCTTACAGAAAAATTCCCACCTGCTACAAACTGCGAGAGACTTTGCCCACCTCAGTTAAATCCTGAGATCTTATCTGCAATAAAAGATAAAAGTAAAATTAGGGAAGATAAGTACTTGCAATCTATGCAAACAATTTTAGCGGCAAGTATTATGGCTCTTTATAAAGAGATCGAATTGGGATTAAATGAAAATAGGAGTATCGAAACAAGTGCCAACTCCATAAACCTCAATATAGAGGTGTTTTATAAGATGTCCTTGCACAGAAGGTTTTTGCTCAGTTCTTCATTAAATTCAAAATTTAAGAAATTATTAGATGAGCAACCTATAGATAAATTTTTATATGGAGAGAATTTGGTTGAAAGGTTGAAAGAGAACAAGGACACAAAATCAGCAGCCTTTCAGGTCAGCTCTATTATGAAGCCACAAACATCAAATTTTTACCCTAGGACTGCTCCTCAGCGCCAAGCTGCTATTGTAGCTCAACAGCCAACAAGAGTTCTTGCAGAATCTAGCAACTTCAATCAGCAGCGTTTAAACTACAACCGAGCCTCGAACAGACTGAGATTTCGACAAAGCCAGTACCCAAATCGCCCGCAACCAACATCAAGATACAAGCAGTTGAACAGGCAGCAGTACCAGGACCAGAGCAAAATAACCAAGAGGTCATATTAAAGGTAAATAAGAAATTAGCAGGTAATGTGGCTAACTATATTGAAAACTGGAAAAAGATTACTGCTGACAACAAAGTTTTAAGTTGGGTCCAAGGTTTTAGTATTTTATTTAAAACAACACCCTCTCAAGAAAGAGCACCAAAGTTTTGATAGACCCAAATGAGTCATATGACTTAGCTATAAAACAATTACTTGAGAAAGGAGCTATTTCTCCCTCTGCTTATACACAAGGGCAATTTCTTTCTTCATATTTTCTAGTGCCTAAAAAGGATGGGAGTCACAGATTTGTTTTGAATTTAAAACAATTAAACTGCTTTATAGAAGCCCCACATTTTAAGCTGGAAGACTATAGGTCAGTTCTTAAGCTCATTTTCAAGGGTTGTTTTATGGCAAAGGTAGATTTAAAAGATGCCTATTTTGCTATACCTGTTCATGAAAATTCTAAAAAATATTTAAAATTTGAGTACAAAAATATTCTGTATCATTTTAACTGCTTGCCATTTGGTTTGAATATATCACCTTTTATATTTACAAAGGCTTTGAAACCAGCTCTAAATAATCTAAGAACAAGAGGTTTTACTTCTGTCATTTTTTTAGATGATACTTTACTAATTTCAAAATCATATTTAGAATGTAAAGAAAATATTGCTGAAACATGTTCTATGTTTTCCCGCTTAGGCTTTACTATACATAAAGAAAAAAGCATACTTTCACCAATGCAAAGTATAACTTTTCTTGGTTTTACTTTTGATTCCAGAGAAATGGTATATTTTGCACCTGCTGACAAAAAAGAAAAAATTATTAATAGAATTCAGACATTTAAAAATAAAAGTACATGTAGGATAAGATCATTTGCAGCTTTAATCGGTCAGTTGGTAGCGATTTGTCCTTCAGTTAAATATGGTAAATTATACTTAAAAAATTTAGAAAGAGAAAAGTGGCTTGCTCTTTCTAAAACTAATAGTTATAACACTAAAATGACCATACCTAAATATTTGGAAAACGATTTCAATTGGTGGTTAAATAACATTCCAATTAGTAAGCAAAATATAAAAGAATCAAATTATGTACTTGAAATATTTTGTGATGCATCTCTTTTAGCCTGGGGGGCATGCTGTAATGATAACAAAACTCATGGTTTTTGGAGTTATGAACAGCAGAAACTACATATAAACGCACTTGAATTACTGGCAGCATATAATGGCTTGAAATCCTTTTCCAAGGGATATGGGAATTGTAACATTTTGCTAAGAATAGATAATACAACAGCGGTGTCTTGTATTAACAAGATGGGGAGTGTGCAGTACTCTAATCTAAATAGCATTTCTAGAGAGATTTGGCAATATTGTGAAAACAGAAATTTAAGAATATTTGCATCTTATATCAGTACAAAAGAAAATATTATTGCTGATTCAGAGTCAAGATCTTTAAAAATAGAAACAGAGTATTCTTTAAGTGAATATCATTTTTGAGCAGCTTTATATTCCAGATATAGATTTGTTTGCCACATATCTTAACAAAAAATGTGCAAGGT